TCGAGCGGTTTTCGAGCATTTTGCTAATAAAAAAATTAGCTATTTTTTCAAAAATTGTTGCCTTAAAATGCTCAATTTTTGTCGAATTTATACAAAATTTGTACACAATAACATTTCCACTGCTCTGAAGAAGTAATGTTCCGAAAATGAAAGTTATATCTGCAAAATCTAAGTAGGGACACGATATCCAATCAAAAGTATCGATTTGGTACTCATTTAAGGTATCGCTGTAAAAATATCGGGTGCCAACTAATCGGAATAAAAAGACTCGATACCCAAATATCGATATTAAAATAAAAATAAAAAATTCTCTGAATATTGGTGTCGTATGTAGGCTGCCAAGGTGAATTTATACAAAGTGTCAAAATCTAAATTGGCCCCAAAGTTTACACGTATCTTGTTTTTGCTTTTGATGGGTGTGCTGTCAAAGCAGTAAAAACAAAAAACAAAATACGTGTAAGGCAAAGAAATAAGCTGGGCCCTATTGCACCAACGAATTATGATTAGCATTTTAGCAAATTATCGAACTTGCGCAAAGGTTTGTGTTTCACCAAAATGATAAGGAAAAGTCACTCAAATGAGTATTGATAAGTAAAATATCACTAAAAATCATAGATAACCGTTGCACCAAAATTTAAAATGCTTAGCGAAAAGATTTTAGCGGATAAGTGATAAGTTATGGAAAAGCTTAAGTTTTCCAAAAGCTCACGCTCCTTTAATTTGATATTGCCGAAATTTAACTACTTAAGCTCTTCAAGGCTTTTTTTTGGTAATGGTGTTAGACTTTGGAACTCCCTTCCACTGTCTCTAAAGAACTCACTGCGTGAAAGTAATTTAAAACAATGTATCTTTGAATATTTTTCCAGTTAAGTCGCATAATAAGGTGGTCATAAATTTTTAAATTTTTATTTATTTTATAAATTTTTTTTTTTAATATTTTTACCCGAGCGCACTTGTGCACAAGGGTATTATAACTTTGTTCACATAACGGTTGTTTGTAACAGGCAAAACGAATCGAGATAGATATAGACAAATGTATACATTAGGGCGGGCCAATTTTTTTTCGACATCGTTTCTAGCAGATTCGGATTCTACATAAAATTCTAAGAAAAAAAGCCATTTAGACCATAGCCCTAAAATCAATTTCGAGCCTGCGCAATTTTAAAAGAAAATATCTTTAATTAATACTAAGTCCATAATCAGATTAATATTTACTAAAGTGTTAGGATTTTTTTTTTTGTAATAACGAGTTGTGCTCCGGAGTTTTGTGATATGGAAAATTCATTTTTGATATATATTTTTTATTTAAAGAACCGCAATATGGCGCTTCAAATCAAATCTACTATATATTTGTGGAAGAATGTATGTATGTATGTGCCAGGTTGCAGCCTAAACGGATGGACAGAATTGAATAAAATTTTGCCAAAGTATTGCCATGACTCCTGGACCTATAACAGGGTAAAAAAATTGGAACTCGCCAAGGGGGGAGAGGGATGGGGGATACCTCCCATAGTGAAAATTTTTAATCAACTCTAACTTCGGAATTATAGTCACATGAACTCGAAATTTGAAATGCACAGATACCTATGGTAGGTGCTTATGGAAAAATATATGTATATAAATGAGTTTGTAAAAAGGGGCGTGGCACATCTCATAGGTGTGGAATCTTTTATCAGCTATAACAGCAGGCAGTATTAGTGATCTCAATGTATTGCATTTTGAAGATTGGTTATTGTTTTGCTGAGAAGCAAAACCAACGTACGCCGGTGCGAACTCAC